ACACTATGAAATTCATGGTACACTCACATATATTTATACCAAAAGTTTTATATTCACCACATAATGTACTAAATACAAGTGTACAGTGATGGACCCACTCAGTGGTGATTAAGGGCTGGTGACCCCACTCAAAAATAAAATAAAAAATCATTAACTTGGTTTGGTTTTTGATGGGAGAATTTCAAAATCTACCCTTTAGGTTTCACTATTCATTGATTTATGGCACTTATGTAAGAAATATTCAAGAAACACCTTGAGCTCTAACACCGTTAAGAGTCCAATAACATTGCAAGGATATTCTTGTAATTGTGTTGTCACTTTAACAATTCCTAACTCTTATCCTAACTCAACATTTACTAATTCTAATTAAGTTAATAACATATTTAATAAAGTTAATAATATGAATTAAGTTAATTCATTAAATTACAATAAATATACCAATTGTTAGGCAAAAACGCAACAACTAGAGATACCTAGTCGATCTTCGACGGGACTAGGTAGGATGTGCGTGTGGTTAATGATAATCAGCTTGGAATGAGTTAGGAAGTGATAATGTGATGACAAAATAAGATTTTTAAAGTGGTTTAACGAGTATGAATCAAGCCTACGTCTATTGTTATATTATTGCTTTGTACTTGCCTTATACACAGGGTGATTACAAGGTAGAAACACGTAATAGCAAGCTAAAACTCTCTCTAAGTGGTTTCTTATGCTTGTATGAATGATCCCTCTCCCAAAATGGAGGTAAATCCTCCCACTATCTAGCAGTGGTTGGGAGTGGTTGCTACGAGGTGGATTACACGCATAATCCCATGTAATCCGAATCTGAGTCAACTTTGCCCATGCTTAAGTCTGAACACCCATGCTTAGTATTGATGAGCTTGTTGGAGAAGTTATCTGCTGTGGGAGCGACACATTAGACGAGTCTGACCGTTGGATCTCGGTATGGCGTATGAACAGGTGGCACAAATCGGGTCTTCGAAAAGTATGCACAACAGTACCAAAGACATTTAAAATCAACCACCGTCAAAATTCATCAACATTGTAACTAATCTCCCATACCGATCTTCCCTCCAATTTTCAAATGGACCTTACTCACACAACCATAATAGCACTTAAACAAAACAAAATAAACTCCATCAAAAGTTATTTGGAGACATTAATGAAGAAGTTATTCAATAGAAACTATGAGAATATGTAGATCTATAAACTTTAAAAACAAATGGTGTGGATGTTGAAGCTTGACGCAACACCATGTAGAGGCGCTTAACCAGTAATTCCCTTGTTATGATCTTCTGCTGAGCGACTAAACCCTAAACATCACTAAATCTTATTTTCTTGTTTCTTTGTTGTTGGTGTTGGTATTAGCTAAAGGAAAAAGAGATGGCAACACAAGAAAATTCACCAATTGCTACGAACATTACCCTAACGTTGCAAAATATTGACCAACTATCTCACAATGACTTTCATTGCTGCATTGTCTACAATATATTCCGACGCCACTTGGCTTGTTCAACGAAAATATAATGGCATCATAAAGTCATTGTTTTCAACTCCTTATCAAGCATCCATAGCAACGTGCACCCTATGCCGATGAAAATAGGACACAAGGTAGACGATGCAATCATTGACTGATTTAGTTGCAGTACGATCAATGACAAAAAACTTGCATCGTATTCTATGGGATTGAAGTTTGCTGAATTGATGGGATTGTTTTGTGGCAATTTTGACGAGGTTTTTTGGTATGTGTTTGCTTGTGAATGAGGGATGAAATCAAAGATGTTGTAAGTGTTGAAGGATGGCTCAAGAAGTCAGCAAAATTCCCTTAATAGGAAGTCGTAGCTTCACATTAATGGCAATATTATGATCCCATATCTAGATCCTGCACCCACTAAGTGTGGTACTTAAGCCTAAGGGCTCTCCCACCTATCAAATATATTTTTTGGCTTAGGCTTTCCCTTAGGCTTGAGTTCTAATATTGGTGTTTTCGTTGAAATTTGGCTACGGAATGGGCTACTTATAGGCTAAATTAAGGTGCAATGTACCCTTCCAATTGATAGGTAAGTGATAATGTATCGAATAATTGATAGGTAAATGAAGCCGCCCAGTGTGCTACTTCGAATAATTGATAGGTAAGTGAAGCTGCCCAATGTGCTACTTCGAATAATTGATAGGTAAGTGAAGTCACCCAAAGAGGGAAAGGGCTACCGTCAGGTTAGTGTCAATAGAATGAAAGTCGTTGTGGACGTTGGCTCTTAAAAGGAATGCAATGTTAGAATCCCACATCGAGCTCTCACACCCACCAAGTATAGCACTTAAGCCTAAGGGCTCTCCCTCTTATCAAACCAGTCTTTTGGGTTAAGCTCTCCCTTGGACCTAAGTTCTAACAAGCAATGATGAGAGGTTTTGTACTTTGCATATTGGGTTGTGTTGTCATCCAGGTTGTCCCCTTTTTTTCTTCATGAACGTCTTCCTTTATACTAAGAGGTTTGATAATATAAAACTTATTAGAATAATTTAATTGTATATGATAATGCATGTTGTGAATGGTTAATGCAAATCTAATGACAATAGTAATCAACTTTGATAAATACTAATGCAATAATGAATGCAACTCTTAATAAAGAATAGGTTCATTAGAAAAATAATTAAAGGAGACTTTAAAGAATAATGGAACAAATATAATAATTCTAAAAGATAAAGGATTTTGATTATTATAAAAATAATAACATAAAAAGAATAATTATCTAAGTAAATATAGTTAATAAAACAGTTTTTCAAAAATTTATTAAGAAGGGATAATTTCTGGAGAAATATTTAAATAATTATCCCATCTTTATATAAATACAAAATAAAATTACTAATAAGATAAGGATTTTAAGAGATAAATTATATTTTATAAAAGAGGATAAAATAAAAAACAAGAGATTTATATTAAAATAAATTAATAAATATTTTAAAATAATAAAATAATCAATAGACTCCAACCAACCAAAATTTTGGCCAACAATGCACTATCATAATTAAATTCCAATAAACCTTCCTGCAAATCATCTCTTTTTTGATGGATCTTACTTTAGTTTCCACAAGGTCACAAACGGAGATTATTTTTTCTTTCTTGGAGATTGGCTAACCTCCTTTTGTTTTGAGGCGGATCTACGACCATCCTTAAATTCCACTAGCCGAGATTAATCATAAAGAAGGTTTGGAAAAAACCCTTTTCCCCCCTTAGGTACTGCTACTTCTGGAAGCCTTCCTATTTTTCTTTTTTGCTTTGTTGAGGAGACATACGAAAGCAAGATAGCTAGACAAGACTCACCCCTCTTCTTCTTGTCTTCTTTTAGCTTAGCTCTTTCTTGTTGTATATCTGAAATAAAGAACTGAAAAGAAAAAAAAATGCCCAGGAAGATCAAGACGTCTCCTTTAACTCAACAAAATCAATCCACAGAATCGAGGGTTTGGGGTTTTAATTTTTGAGATGATGATCAACCCACGTTACAGCTTCAGTGTTTGGAATTCTTTTTTCTTTTAATATGGAAAGTGGCGGCGAGCATTGGTAGAGTGGGTAGATTCGATTCCAAGTTAGCAGGAGTTACTCTAACAAATTATAGTTTTTAATAGTTTCTTGTATAAATGTCACAAGTTAACTATTAAACAAAGGTCAAGGGCAGTTCTTGAAAATCTCCCATTTCAAAAATTTGAAATCAGCAAAATGGTTTGTATGTATTTCTATTGATCAAAATTTTACTATAACCCTATTTAATACAATATACCAATAAATTTTTTCACCCTGTTTAGAGTATTTAGACATATTTGCTTAATGGTTGGGATATGTGAAACTATCATATTAACCTTGATATTGGAAGGTTATAACGGTATAATCAATATTGAATTTGACTAGTTCTATAAGCTCAATACACTATATTTTTATCTAATTCTGATATAATTTTAAGAAATTATACTAAACATATTCTCATAATTTTATCTTATTTGATTTAATCATATCCTATCCTATCATATTCATAATAGTTTTTCAGAATATCATATTTCAAATAATATATCAAACATACCATTTCTTTCTTCTTGATGGGCAAAAGAAGATAGGTATTGAAATTGAATGGCCCATGCAGAAAAATCCACGTCCAAAAGGAACAAAAATAGTGTGGAAGAAGGAGAAAGAAGAAAAGAGAAGAAAGGAGAAAGAGAAGAGACAAAAACTGGGGATTTTGTTTTTCAACTTTATATAAGGGTGAAACGACATAATTGTCCCTCATTTTTTTTTTTTTCAAACTACTGTTCTATACTTCTATCTTTCTGTAGTTAAAGATATCAAAAAAATTGGATGAATGGATGGATGGATGGAAAACTGTTGTTTTGAATAGTCTTTGGTTCACAAATGAGAATAGTTCATTAGTATATAATTTGATCTGTCCAAATTTCAACCTATAAAGTTAGGGTTTGTTGAACTTCTCTTCAGCGTAGTATCTCCACCTGAATAGTCTCAATACTCTTTGGAAAAAGAATTAGTCTTTAATACTACGGGAAAAAGATGTTGAAGCCACTGGAATTCTAGGACTAAAGAACACCATTTTTATTCCCTTTTTGCAAAATATTGTTCTTGTTTTTGTAGGTACAATCGTTTTTTTAAGTTGGAGAAATGGAAGGAGATATATAGTAAAAGGGTATTTTTCAGATAATTTTAAAAATGAACTAAAACAATAATTTATTTAAATTGAGGTTTAAAAAGAGTTTTCTAGAGTCAATTGAGCTGGCCAAGCCCAACCTGTTAGTAACCTCCAGCTCACTTGTGGGCAAGATCGACCCACCGGTTGGGTCGATGAGGGTGGCATGTGACAACCCCCGAAAACCACCATACTGTAAACGTATTGCAAAAGTCAAAAGTGTTCTTTAATTTATCAGAAGTAGAAAAATAAAATAACACTTCATGGGAGGAGAATTCCACGTGACAACCACCATGTGTTTTCGAGAAAATTTCGTCTATATAACACCTTCAAAATCCTCATTGAAAAGGGCCGAGATCAGATCACTTAATAACAAAATGGTAGTGAAAGTGTTTGGTCCAGTGCATGCAGCTTGCCCCCAGAGAGTTTTGGCTTGCCTGCTTGAAAAGGATGTGGATTTCGAAATTGTGCATGTTAATCTCGATCAAGGGGAGCATAAGCAACCGGATTTTCTTGTTCGACAGGTGATTTTTAACAATGTTGCTTACTATAATATTTATGCTTTTTTATTTTTTATCTGACATGAAATTTCAATCATTTTTGAAGCCGTTTGGGCAAGTTCCGGCTATAGAAGATGGGGACTTTAGGCTCTTTGGTAAGTAACATAATCTTACATGATCCAAGGATGAAAATAATTTCAATTTGGGTTTTTTACACTATTGCACCAGTATCATATATATATAACTCGCAAAATACGTTAGTACTAATCATTTATAAAAGGTTTTCTAAAATCCATCTCCAACTTCCATTGAATTTTGCAGAGTCTAGGGCAATCATAAGGTACTATGCAGCAAAATATGCAGAGCGCGGTCCAAACCTACTGGGAAAGACATTAGAAGAGAGAGCTCTGGTGGATCAATGGCTTGAAGTGGAAGCTCATAATTTCAATGACTTGGTTTATACTATGGTTCTTCAGCTTGTTGTACTGCCGAGAATGGGACAGCCGGGGGACTTGGCCTTGGTCCATAGCTGTGAGCAGAAGCTGGAGAAAGTTTTAGACATTTATGAACAAAGGTTGTCTAATTCCAAATATCTCGCTGGAGAAAGCTTCACACTCGCGGATTTAACCCACCTTCCAGGCACAAGATATCTAATGAATGAAGCTAAAATGGGACACTTAATCACTGAGAGGAAACATATTAATGCATGGTGGGAGGACATTTCCAGCCGCCCTGCTTGGAAGAAACTTATGAATCTTGCTTGTTTCTAAGTGTCTTGTGATGAGTGATTAATTTGCTTTCTCTAGTTTGCTTTGTGTTGTAATAATTTATTACTCTTGATAATAAAGTAATAATAATTTGGTTTCCTCCTCCAATCCTGAAAATCTTGAGAGCAAACGGGCAGTTCAGATGCTAGTAATAGTATGGGAGGTGTAAGTTGCAACGATAACAAATAGGTAGAATTACGGGTAAAAACCAGCTACCAGCTTAAAAGGGGAGGATGCCCACAACATGTTCAATATACCCAATTGGTAAGACTAAGACAGGATGCCCACAAGTACATGTTTAATTAATATACCCAATTGGTAAGACTTACTCTATACCTTCTGGTCGTGCTTGCCTTAGCTGTAGCCCGGCCAAGTTTTCTGAAAAATAAAGAAATAAGTAAATACATATTTTAATAAAATTGAAGCCATTTAACCTTCTTTTTTCATAAAATTCTCTAAGATATCTTCAAAAACATATATTTTTTGTAACTATTTCATTCCTTTTTATTTACAAACAATCAAACGTAACCAACTTTGATTCTTCATAATATACATTATATTTCTACATTCTCTAATTAGATTACATATATTTATATTTATTTATGTTTATATTAAATGTCTTAATCAAATTAAGTGTAAATTAGTAATTAACTTTTTTTTTTTTTTTTTTTTTAAATTTTGGTTGTAGAATAGTATTTATTAGTAAACATTTTATTGAGAAACTAAAAACTTTATTCGGTCCAGGTTGAAAAAAATCTTGGCTATGTCCCCTCGCTGCAGAAGCATAGAAGGGATGGGTGCTTATACCCAATTGACTAAGACTTTATTTTTTTTTTTATTTTTTTTTTTTTTTGGCATAAGACTTTATCTAGATTAATTTGTGCGTATCTTAATTAGTCTCTCAAAATCCTGAAGTTAACGGTCAGGTAAACCTCCTGTAACTAACCCTTATTAGTAATCGTAGAGATTCTAATTCAAGACCTTTTGAGTAATACACTCAAGAATCTCAGATGAACCACCGAAGAGGCAGTTACAAGACTTACTTTATACCTCCAGTTTGTTCCATGCGCAACGAGTTTCGTCTCATATGGATACTATTTCGTACCAATTGTAACAATCACAAATAGAAAAAAAATCACCACATGTCAAACCCATTCTTTAGCGATATGAGACTCTATATCGCTAGAGGAGTCATTTGAAGCAATGAGAACTTTTGTTATTGGGCAGAAAATGATTTTGGCGCATGCATGGAAAATTAACAGTTGGTGAGTTAAAGACTTTAGGGTTGAGTACTGAATTAGGTGTCTGCTCGTAGAAAGAAATAATGGGATTCAAAGAAGAGGTAGCAAGTACGACACGTCGATTCTCATGTTTCATACGTTTTCTCCAACAAACCGACAAACGTGCGTGAGACTTGAGACTGACTGCTTGGCGCACTTAAATTTGTCAAAAGCTTCACTATATATATATAATTAAAATATACAAGAAATTCTCTCATTTCACAAGATATTAGAAAAGTCTTCATTCATTGCATATTGTAACAATAAGAAATTATTTCTAGGAGTTGAATGAAATGCCGAAGAGGAGAATTTTGAAAAATATAAATACGTTCTCTATCAATTAATTTTAATTTATTTTACGTGGATATTCCTCAAGTAAAACATAAAGAGACAAAGAGATTTAGTTTTCAATTTTATACATTTTTTTTATCCGTAATCTCAATGACCAACCGAGGCAAAGGCAAACCTCTGTCTACATAGATAGAATATAGCAAGAGCAAAGCATAAATCTTGATTTGCGAATTGCAAGTGAGAATTGAATTTACTATTTGAGCTTTATCTTGGATACACGTTGTTGTATTACAACAATTCCTAATATACAAAATAAATGATTCCTTCTTTTTTTTTTTTTTTTTTGGAGGGATTTCCTTCTATTCAACTACATATGCTTCTAAGATTTGTTGATGTAAAATGATGAGTTTATACTTTAGACAGAGATTTTCTTGAGGGGCGTATAAGTGACTTTGCATATGAGATAGGCAATGCAGCTATCTTCTTCACTTTACTCACATATGCCCTCCTTGTGAAATTGTTATAATCATTGGCTTCAATCTCGTCCAGTATTTGACGATACAACAGCAACGATGCCCATACCTGCATTAACATCCAACACTCATGTTCATTCATATCTTCAATCTCATCCAGTATTTTAAGGCACAATTTATACTGATAAAAAATTTCCTGATTATTTACCGGCCATCGACTAGCCTCACTCAGCTCTGTCACGCCTTTCTCTGCCGCATCAAAGAACATCCTTGCTCTCTTAATTTGGTTCTTCATGAAGTTTCTCCATTTCTCTGTCACCTTTCCAGCTAGTATGTCTTCATCAGAAAGCCCTGCTTGTGCCAACTCATCTTGTGGTAGATAAACCCTTCCTCTTCTTGCACTGAAGAGGAAATGTTCAAAGATGATGAAAATGAAGAGAAACGTTTAAAAAGTAACAACAGCAGAATTTCAAAAGATGCTTATCTTCATGAAATTTAACAGAAAAGCTAGCAAATTTAAAGACTGCACTTACTCCTCTCCAACGTCCCGGAGTATGTTGGTGAGCTGGTTAGCAATCCCTAATGCCAAGGCAGCATTATAGACACTCTCTGTTGTTGCCTGTGATTCAGGTGCAATGCCCATGACCGGAACACTCATCAAACCGACCGTCCCGGCAACATAATAACAATAGAGGTATAGTTCATCAAAGGTTTTATAGCTTGACTTCTTAAGGTCCATTCTCATTCCTTCAATCATGTCTCTGAATGGCTGCAAGACAACAGGTATTTTGGTGATAAGTTCAATGTCTTGCAGTGCAATACAACCTAGTTTTAAAAGTGTAATGCTTTAACTAAGGGGAACATCGATACATTCAATTGGCTGAAATTCACTTGAAATGGCAGAAGGTTCAGATTAAGGGTTTACTACAAGTTCTTGACAAAATAATTACTTAACTTTTGCCGAGGAAATTCTACAGGGTAAATATAAAACTTCAGAGAGGTTTCTCCAAATCTTTACCCCATTCATTTAGAAATTTTAGGGTCTCTTAGGCATTTGCATATTCCTCATAGTACCGTGTAGACCCTGCCTACAAAATCTGGCCCCAAATGACTGTTTTCATGGCTGGACAACCCTTTGTTTTGATAAAGGTTAGTTTTTTCTTTTTCCCCTCTTCCGATGAGTGACTAAAAAAGCGAGATTGGTCAACTTTTGTGGACGAGGGGAATAAGTCTGGTATGAACATGGGACAAAAATCAAAACACAAGGTAGATATTTGCTTGTACTTTACAATTCTCTGACATATTCCCCCAACTCCCAATAAGCTCGACCTTTTCCTAATAATTATCCAAAATTTATGAAAACTAAAGAGCTCATAGTAGGCATACAGTGTCACCTCTTTCAAAACTTTGGACTTGAAGGATAAAATTGAAAACGCAGAAATAGCATGATATCATTACAAATGGAACATGATCTGTCATTATAGATAAAATTTTAATGTTATTAAAAATTGTTATAGTTATGCTCAAGGACCACCCAATTGACATGAGATCTAACAACACTACAAAAAGTTCAAACTAGTACTACAACAACCATTCTCTGTTAAAATTTAATTTGATTCTGAAAATATAATCCAACCTGAATGTCAACAGGAAATTTGGCTACTGTATCTGATAAAGCAGCATCAAGCATATCAAATGGACGACCCTGGAAAAGATCTTCTAACCTGGACTCCCACCTATCTAAAGCTGTTGGAGTAATGTGTGAAGCATTAGGCCCATCAACCAGTTCATCAGTCCTCCTACACCACACTGTACATACATTTTATAAGAAACGATAGGTAATGTACATACATGTTACTAAGAATCAGCATGAAGATTCTCACAAATTAATAAAACTGCTTAGCCAACACATATACAAAAGACGAAAAAAGAATGTACAAGACATATGTCATACAGAGATTCTCTATTTCTGTTAATGTACAAGACAAGTTCCCAAGACAAACAAAAGCATCGTTGTAGGCAAAAGTTTAGTTGAAAGAAATAAAAAATAAAAATTCACCACCTTATGCATTTTTCTGTAAATAATAGTGCATATGTGATTCAAAACGCTAATAACATAACATCAGACATACAGGGCTTGTCGATGGTCATTATTTGATATAACATTTTAATGATAACTTTAACATAAAAATAGAACAGGAAAATCAACGTTAAATGTGGAGAACAAAGCTCCTTTCAGTGAGGTATTTCAAAGAACTGGGACTGAATATCATCCCCATCAAGGTTGAGAGAGTTCGGTGTCAAGGAAAGTTATCTGAATAGAGCATATACATCCCCCCCATGGAAGAAGACAAAGCTAACATTATAAAATAAATTAAAACAAAAAGTATCTCTATCCTATAAATATTAAATAGAAGGAAAAGAAGTCACAGATCAGATAACCACAACCACATAAAAGTCATGTTTAAAGATGAACTTCGTTATAGTGGAGTCGGTCACAGCATGATTGAATTTGTGCTGTGACCGAATTTGTTAAAGAAATATAACCCTTGAGTAGTCATCAACAAATAGCAGAAACTGGCAGTAAAGTACATACTCATGCAGGGAGAACATGAGGTTTATATCATCATTCAAAGAAACAGCAATCCTTGTTGTTTGGATAATAATATAGATTCAGGACACAACCAAACTCACTAACACCAACAATCCACAACAGTAATTCTATGGCATGGTTTGGGATGTCTTTGTTAAGCACATAAAAAAAAAAAAATTACTTGGTTTAAGATTCAATAAGCTACAAAGTCCTACATTTTTAAAAAAAATCTTTCAAGGTTTTTACTGATTCTTTGATAAATCTGATCGTCAAGTACCTAAAAATTTTATATGAATATTTACTCAGGTAATGTTAAATTGCAAGCAAAAGATGCAGTATGATTTAAGGTTATGATCACAAACCATATATAGCCCATATAGCCCTTCTTCTTTCAGGGGTCATTAGGAGAGTTCCTGAAAAAGGCAAAAATACATAAGGATTTGATTCAAAAGAACTGCAAATACAGAATTTCACTCCCAGTTCAAAACTCAAATTACATAGAAGAAGTCTAACCCAAGTAAAATGTCTTGGCATACTCTGCACAAACTTCTCCACACCGATCATAAGCTTCAGTCAACAAGCTCAGAGTTCCCGGCAACACAATATCAGGTTTTACATCAAGTTCCCCACTTGACATTAATTGCCTATTAACCAAGGCTGCCTGCTTCAACACCACATTGTAAACCTTTTCTTCTGAAGACAGGGCCATTTCTCCCGCTGTGCTAGCCACCATACTTATTTCAGGCAAGTTGATTCCACCTAAGCAAGGATGCCTAAAATCTGTATCCAATGAGCAAGAATTCCATTTTTGTTTCCTACCTTTTTTCGGTCTACAGCTAAACATGGAACTACGATCCCGGTACAGAAATCTTGATAATTCTATTAGTCGGTTTCCATCGCGAACTGAATCAACGTATCCAACATATCTTGACAACTGTGAGTTGGGCGATACAACCCATAGCAAAGCCACAGACATGCTGAAACTTAAAATTCTATATATCTAGCCTTCTTAATTCCCTCCTATCTCCAACCTCAATTCACACACATCCAACTGAAACCTATCTTCTAGAAAACAACCCCACAAGTTCAACTTAAACACAATATTTAGCAACAACTCAGCAGTCAAAGACTCTGCTTCAACTCTGTATAAATGAACCAGAAACCACAGTAAGCATACAAAACCAACAACAAAAAAATTTAAACACAACAAAGCATTAATAACAACCAACACAAAATCCCACAGCAAGAACAAGAACTTAGAACGGGATCGCAAAAACATAAACTAAAATTGTTTCAGAGTTCAGAAACCATAGTTATAGTGATTAAACAAAGAAGGGTATTGGAAATGTTGGTAAAAGCAGTGACTAATTAAATAAGAAAAAAGAAAGTATCAACATCATATCAAAATGAAAGCATAAATAAAACTAACAACGGCCATTTTATCTAACCTTACCTAACAAACTCTCCACTCTTCCAGACCTCTCAAAGCCTCACACTGTTTTGTTTCTTCTTTTTATTTTATTTTATATTTTGTTTATATTAATGACTAGCATTGTCCGGATTTGTATGCAGAATGCAGAGTTGTTTCTCTCTCTTTTTTATTTTTAATGGTTGCTGTTTTGTCATGTATCAGAATTCAGATCCGAATGGAATATGGATATTCTTGGATAACCCGTTTCTTTTTCTATGGTTTGGGTTAAACCCTTCCAAGGATTCTTTTGTCTTCATCAATGCACTTCAATTATTTTCTTAAAATTTAGTAACCTACTTGACAATACATACGGTTCTAAATTTTTGAAAAGGTTGAAAATTCTTAAATTCGAAAAAAATACTTTTTATATTTTCCAAAAATGTTTTACTAACCGACTTTGAAAAACATTTTTTATATATAGTATTATTTAATTATTTCTATCAAGTTTGTATAGGAATGTACTTCAAAAACTACATATATTCATAGTTACAAAAGGCTTATTTGGTATTTTCTTTAAAAAATGATTAAAATGGCTATCAACCAGTTCATCAGTCCTCCTACACCACACTGTACATACATTTTATAAGAAACGATAGGTAATGTACATACATGTTACTAAGAATCAGCATGAAGATTCTCACAAATTAATAAAACTGCTTAGCCAACACATATACAAAAGACGAAAAAAGAATGTACAAGACATATGTCATACAGAGATTCTCTATTTCTGTTAATGTACAAGACAAGTTCCCAAGACAAACAAAAGCATCGTTGTAGGCAAAAGTTTAGTTGAAAGAAATAAAAAATAAAAATTCACCACCTTATGCATTTTTCTGTAAATAATAGTGCATATGTGATTCAAAACGCTAATAACATAACATCAGACATACAGGGCTTGTCGATGGTCATTATTTGATATAACATTTTAATGATAACTTTAACATAAAAATAGAACAGGAAAATCAAGGTTAAATGTGGAGAACAAAGCTCCTTTCAGTGAGGTATTTCAAAGAACTGGGACTGAATATCATCCCCATCAAGGTTGAGAGAGTTCGGTGTCAAGGAAAGTTATCTGAATAGAGCATATACATCCCCCCCATGGAAGAAGACAAAGCTAACATTATAAAATAAATTAAAACAAAAAGTATCTCTATCCTATAAATATTAAATAGAAGGAAAAGAAGTCACAGATCAGATAACCACAACCACATAAAAGTCATGTTTAAAGATGAACTTCGTTATAGTGGAGTCGGTCACAGCATGATTGAATTTGTGCTGTGACCGAATTTGTTAAAGAAATATAACCCTTGAGTAGTCATCAACAAATAGCAGAAACTGGCAGTAAAGTACATACTCATGCAGGGAGAACATGAGGTTTATATCATCATTCAAAGAAACAGCAATCCTTGTTGTTTGGATAATAATATAGATTCAGGACACAACCAAACTCACTAACACCAACAATCCACAACAGTAATTCTATGGCATGGTTTGGGATGTCTTTGTTAAGCACATAAAAAAAAAAAAATTACTTGGTTTAAGATTCAATAAGCTACAAAGTCCTACATTTTTAAAAAAAATCTTTCAAGGTTTTTACTGATTCTTTGATAAATCTGATCGTCAAGTACCTAAAAATTTTATATGAATATTTACTCAGGTAATGTTAAATTGCAAGCAAAAGATGCAGTATGATTTAAGGTTATGATCACAAACCATATATAGCCCATATAGCCCTTCTTCTTTCAGGGGTCATTAGGAGAGTTCCTGAAAAAGGCAAAAATACATAAGGATTTGATTCAAAAGAACTGCAAATACAGAATTTCACTCCCAGTTCAAAACTCAAATTACATAGAAGAAGTCTAACCCAAGTAAAATGTCTTGGCATACTCTGCACAAACTTCTCCACACCGATCATAAGCTTCAGTCAACAAGCTCAGAGTTCCCGGCAACACAATATCAGGTTTTACATCAAGTTCCCCACTTGACATTAATTGCCTATTAACCAAGGCTGCCTGCTTCAACACCACATTGTAAACCTTTTCTTCTGAAGACAGGGCCATTTCTCCCGCTGTGCTAGCCACCATACTTATTTCAGGCAAGTTGATTCCACCTAAGCAAGGATGCCTAAAATCTGTATCCAATGAGCAAGAATTCCATTTTTGTTTCCTACCTTTTTTCGGTCTACAGCTAAACATGGAACTACGATCCCGGTACAGAAATCTTGATAATTCTATTAGTCGGTTTCCATCGCGAACTGAATCAACGTATCCAACATATCTTGACAACTGTGAGTTGGGCGATACAACCCATAGCAAAGCCACAGACATGCTGAAACTTAAAATTCTATATATCTAGCCTTCTTAATTCCCTCCTATCTCCAACCTCAATTCACACACATCCAACTGAAACCTATCTTCTAGAAAACAACCCCACAAGTTCAACTTAAACACAATATTTAGCAACAACTCAGCAGTCAAAGACTCTGCTTCAACTCTGTATAAATGAACCAGAAACCACAGTAAGCATACAAAACCAACAACAAAAAAATTTAAACACAACAAAGCATTAATAACAACCAACACAAAATCCCACAGCAAGAACAAGAACTTAGAACGGGATCGCAAAAACATAAACTAAAATTGTTTCAGAGTTCAGAAACCATAGTTATAGTGATTAAACAAAGAAGGGTATTGGAAATGTTGGTAAAAGCAGTGACTAATTAAATAAGAAAAAAGAAAGTATCAACATCATATCAAAATGAAAGCATAAATAAAACTAACAACGGCCATTTTATCTAACCTTACCTAACAAACTCTCCACTCTTCCAGACCTCTCAAAGCCTCACACTGTTTTGTTTCTTCTTTTTATTTTATTTTATATTTTGTTTATATTAATGACTAGCATTGTCCGGATTTGTATGCACTATTGATCTGTCATTATAGATAAAATTTTAATGTTATTAAAAAAGTTATAGGTATGCTCAAGGACCCCCAATTGACATGAGATCTAACAACACTACAAAAAATTCAAACTAGTACTACAACAACCATTCTCTGTTAAAATTAATTTGATTCTGAAAAATATCAAACCTGAATGTCAACAGGAAATTTGGCAATGTATCTGATAAAGCAGCATCAAGCATATCAAATGGACGACCCTGGAAAAGATTTCTAACCTGGACTCCCACTATCTAAAGCTGTTGGATAAGGTGTGAAGAGGCAGTTACAAGACTTACTTTATACCTCCAGTTTGTTCCATGCGCAACGAGTTTCGTCTCATATGGATACTATTTCGTACCAATTGTAACAATCACAAATAGAAAAAAAATCACCACATGTCAAACCCATTCTTTAGCGATATGAGACTCTATATCGCTAGAGGAGTCATTTGAAGCAATGAGAACTTTTGTTATTGGGCAGAAAATGATTTTGGCGCATGCATGGAAAATTAACAGTTGGTGAGTTAAAGACTTTAGGGTTGAGTACTGAATTAGGTGTCTGCTCGTAGAAAGAAATAATGGGATTCAAAGAAGAGGTAGCAAGTACGACACGTCGATTCTCATGTTTCGTACGTTTTCTCCAACAAACCGACGAACGTGCGTCAGACTTGAGACTGACTGCTTGGCGCACTTAAATTTGTCAAAAGCTTCACTATATATATATAATTAAAATATACAAGAAATTCTCTCATTTCACAAGATATTAGAAAAGTCTTCATTCATTGCATATTGTAACAATAAGAAATTATTTCTAGGAGTTGAATGAAATGCCGAAGAGGAGAATTTTGAAAAATATAAATACGTTCTCTATCAATTAATTTTAATTTATTTTACGTGGATATTCCTCAAGTAAAACATAAAGAGACAAAGAGATTTAGTTTTCAATTTTATACATTTTTTTTATCCGTAATCTCAATGACCAACCGAGGCAAAGGCAAACCTCTGTCTACATAGATAGAATATAGCAAGAGCAAAGCATAAATCTTGATTTGCGAATTGCAAGTGAGAATTGAATTTACTATTTGAGCTTTATCTTGGATACACGTTGTTGTATTACAACAATTCCTAATATACAAAATAAATGATTCCTTCTTTTTTTTTTTTTTTTTTGGAGGGATTTCCTTCTATTCAACTACATATGCTTCTAAGATTTGTTGATGTAAAATGATGAGTTTATACTTTAGACAGAGATTTTCTTGAGGGGCGTATAAGTGACTTTGCATATGAGATAGGCAATGCAGCTATCTTCTTCACTTTACTCACATATGCCCTCCTTGTGAAATTGTTATAATCATTGGCTTCAATCTCGTCCAGTATTTGACGATACAACAGCAACGATGCCCATACCTGCATTAACATCCAACACTCATGTTCATTCATATCTTCAATCTCATCCAGTATTTTAAGGCACAATTTATACTGATAAAAAATTTCCTGATTATTTACCGGCCATCGACTAGCCTCACTCAGCTCTGTCACGCCTTTCTCTGCCGCATCAAAGAACATCCTTGCTCTCTTAATTTGGTTCTTCATGAAGTTTCTCCATTTCTCTGTCACCTTTCCAGCTAGTATGTCTTCATCAGAAAGCCCTGCTTGTGCCAACTCATCTTGTGGTAGATAAACCCTTCCTCTTCTTGCACTGAAGAGGAAATGTTCAAAGATGATGAAAATGAAGAGAAACGTTTAAAAAGTAACAACAGCAGAATTTCAAAAGATGCTTATCTTCATGAAATTTAACAGAAAAGCTAGCAAATTTAAAGACTGCACTTACTCCTCTCCAACGTCCCGGAGTATGTTGGTGAGCTGGTTAGCAATCCCTAATGCCAAGGCAGCATTATAGACACTCTCTGTTGTTGCCTGTGATTCAGGTGCAATGCCCATGACCGGAACACTCATCAAACCGACCGTCCCGGCAACATAATAACAATAGAGGTATAGTTCATCAAAGGTTTTATAGCTTGACTTCTTAAGGTCCATTCTCATTCCTTCAATCATGTCTCTGAATGGCTGCAAGACAACAGGTATTTTGGTGATAAGTTCAATGTCTTGCAGTGCAATACAACCTAGTTTTAAAAGTGTAATGCTTTAACTAAGGGGAACATCGATACATTCAATTGGCTGAAATTCACTTGAAATG